ACTGTCATAATGGTCTGACAGAGAACACCTTCAGAGGACCCAGGGCACAGGCTGAGTCCAGCACTCATGCGGAAAAAGAGGAAGAGAGAATTATTGGATTGCTCCCATCCCATTGGCTGAAGGGATCACCGTAGAAGGAGAGTTTTATTATTTTGAAAAAATGCAGAAAGCGTTTTTAAAATGGTAAAAGCAGGTGACACTAGGACATTTTAAACTTATTTCTGTAGTGGGACCTAGCCCTAGGGTGCATAGTACCCACAGTAGGACTTTTTAACTTATTTCTGGATGGAATTGCGGGCAGATGCATAAAGGTGTGGCCGAAATTACGGCTCGATGGATTCTGGAAAGTGCTAGTGTGAGTATGCCCTCAGTCTGTACACCTACGAACTGCTGAAATACAAATCGAGTTCGAATCGGGGGACCAAGTCCCACTAGCAGCGTTGAGTCTTCTCAACTTCTGAATCTGGACGTGTTTGCGGGAGGAAACTCTACGCGATCTCTGCACACCTACTCAAACACGTCCAGATTCAGGAGTTGAGGAAGCTCAACCGTGTTACGGTCTTCACCCGAATAGAACGCCCGGTCATTATATCTGTATTTGACGCAGCTTTCAGTCCACATACGGCCATAATTACCCGGCGTTCTATGCGGGTGGGACTTGGCCCCGGATGGGTCTAATTGAGTGAATTTCTGAATTACCTTACCTGGGGCCTTTCAGTTCAATAATGATATCTCAAGGCCGTTGCCCTCTTGAGAAAGAAGAAGAAGAAGAAGAAGAAGAAGAAGAAGAAGAAGAAGAAGAAGGAGAGGAAGGAGAGGAAGAAGAAGAAGAAGAAGAAGAAGAAGAAGAAGAAGAAGGAGAGCAAGGAGAGGAAGGAGAGGAGGAAGAAGAAGAAGAAGAAGAAGAAGAAGAGAAGAAGAAGAAGAAGAAAGCGGACACCCTGCCCATTGTAAATCAACGGCACATCTGTGAACTGTCGTTGATAAACAGACCTAAGTTCGAATCCAGATGGAATCAGATGAATAAGATGACTCTGGATGCACCTTGGCCAGTTAGATCGAGAAAAATATCTCTTTGTTTATTTGTGGAAAGGGAACGCCGTCACACTTCAAAAAAAAAAGGGAAAAATAAACGGAGACAAGAAAAAGAAAAAAAATAAACGGAGAAAAGGGACAAGTCAACTACCTTCCTCCCCCGAGCACAACGCACCCGGATCCGTGTGTGTGTCTTTGTGCATGTGTGAGAAAGAGAGAGCGAGACAGGCACTCAGATAGATAGATAGATAGATAGATAGATAGATAGATAGATAGGCTCACACACACACACGCACACACACACACACACACACACACACACACAGAGAGAGAGAGAGAGAGAGAGAGAGAGAGAGAGAGAGAGAGAGAGAG